AGGCCCGTTGACTAAGCATTTGATTCTGCCTTATTCATTCACCACTCATCACTATTTTATAAGCAGATTCTCTCCTCCAATAGCATTTCTCTCTCATTCTGGGTTGAAACTGGGCATTTGCCGGATTGGCCTAGGCTGGGCCTAGGTGTTACTGGATTGGCCTGCACTTGACCTGGGGTTTTTCTAGGTTTGGCCCACACCTGGCCTAGTTACTGACTGGTTCGGCCTACACCTCGCCTGGATTACCACTAGATTGGCTCACAGCTGGCCTAGCTGGGTTCTGCACTGGCCTAGGACCTGATTCTGGGCTTCTGTTCCCATTAGGAAAGTCACCTGATCAATGTTGCCTAAGATGGCAATTTCCCACGCTCCGCTTTCCTTTTTATTTAGTCTGTTTCTTCTCACAATCTGCTAGACTTTGCCTTGCCTATTCAACTTAGGTGTTTTTTTCAGTGGTATGATGTTCAAGCTCTTCACCATGTTCATGTGCCAAACACTTTTGGCCCATGACATCGCAAGGGAGGAGTCCGTCCTGGTCGACAACAACCAGCTTGTAACCATCATGGCATCCAATCTGAACGACTTGTGCAATATGGCACCTAGCCAACACCCCTGGTGGTAATGTGGTGGTATACTGTTTCTCATTCTCCTTCTTCTTTCCAGACAATGGCTAATGTATTGGTTGGCGATGCTGAGGACAGCATTGAACTGCTGCCCATCTGTGGTAGTGCCAAGTGGTTCACTGGCGGAATCCGCGGGAAGGTGTCTTGCAAGCGCAGGTCGCGTGCTTCATGTTTTGAACCACGATCGTGCCTTCTCGGTCTCTTTCGCTGGACCACCTCGTCAACATCACGCCTCCCGAACAACTACGCAATGCATTCCATGGCTAAACGATGATGGTGCGCATCAAGCAGGAATCGGCGCAGCGTATCGTGCGAATATCAAGACAATAAGATAAGACACGTGCGTGAGGCGTGTAGGGTCGGCAGAAACATTGCTTGTTCGTTTTCTATCTCTCTTCACCCTGTATCCCCCGTTCTGGACGGCCTGAGCGACACGGATTGCGCGCGGAACATAGGGTCGAGTGCGTGATCGTGCCTCCTCCGCTTGTTGGGGGAGCAACGCATTCGTAAATAGAGTTGAGGCTCATCACGCGGACTCCACGAACAATAGCCTGCGATCGCATGCTGTTTAGCGATGGTACTGTTCATTCTCGGCACACCACGACTAATATGCATGTACTAGACTACTTCATGTGAAGACTACTGGGTTACAGGTATATAGGGAGAAGAAATGGGCCTGTACGAGCCAGCGAACCACGCGCTATTCACAATTCTCTTAATCTAAATATTCGAACCTTTGCTGGATACTAGGCGACACTCTCGCTTCTCCTCAAAGTCTACGAATCCTCCCAGGTACGCAATCCTCTCTTCGCGATTCACTCCTTCCAGTCTCAGCTAGCGCTGGGGCTATTCTATCTAATCTGATCCCGAACTCTCAGTACACGAGGAGGCTGTACTAATGTCGACAACACCCGGGTTCCGATCCCACGAGCACAAAACCCCCACTACGACACCGAGCGCGAATTTAGCAATTTTTAGCGAATCGTTCGGTGTTAGATCCTATATATCCCCGAAACGAGGCGAGGTTATGTGCGAAATCGACCATGGGCTGACCCCCGAAAAGGGTTCTGCGTGGAGCTCTCAAGGGATTCTCAGGGGTCCTGGTATCCCCGGCTATGCGGCTCTGCCCCCCGAAAAGGATGTGCCGCTACTCACCGCCTGCTCGCAGTGATGCGACGTAATCTAACACCGAGTCGTCTTCTCGTCTCGCTTGTGATGGCGTATTGCTGCTCGTGCTCGCGCTCGGTCCGTCGTACGGCGGCGGTCTGTTCTCGTCTCGCGGGTTCTGCAGCCGCGTCCAACCGCTGCGCCCCGCCATGCCATGAAAAGCCCCTATTAGCCAAGGTCGTCGGGAATGCGTCGTCGTCCAGTATGTGAGAGGAAAGCAGGGTCGCACAGAAAAGCAAAGCAGAGTAGAAAGCGAGACAGAGGCACGCCCGCGCGCCCGTGCCCACGTCGCACGTACATATACGGCGCAGGTGACGGGTGAGTGACACCGCCGCTCACGCCATTGCGCACGCTCCCCGCGTCATGCGACGCGTTCCTGCAGCCCTTCACGCGTGTCACGTCCCCGGATCATCGTCTTATGACGTTCTATATGTCCGCATCCTCCGTTCTCCCTCCGTTTCCTGCACAGCGTGTCCGCGCACGTGCCCCTCCTTTAGCCTTTAGCCTTGCCGTCGTGCGTCCCTCGCGTAAATCCTTGCTTCATCCCCATACAATTGCGATCGTGCGCGCTCATGTCGTGACCGTGCGTGCGTGGCAGCTTCCATTTTCCGTGGTGCGTGCGACCTGTCGAACGTTCCTTGCGCTCTGCCTGCGGGTATGCCCGGGATTTCTCTACCCTACTTAAGCCTCAGCACATACCGCATATCTGCACACCTCTCCTGAATCTCGCAAAGTCCTGCTTGTTTTATACATAACTGTTTGACGAGTCCAGCTCGCCAACTGATGTCGTCATGTTGAAATACCAAGCCCAGCGAGCTAATTGAATAGAATCCACTGCTAGACGACCTTCCACTCCTACTCTAAGTTCTGTCCGCCCGCTATAAGACGCGCCAGCTGCACCGGTACTACATCGTTGTTATTCACAAAGCTTCTGCGCCCTGGGAGGGCTTGCCATGGCCCGCTTGCAATCACACCAAGTCGACGCTCTTGCTAGTGCACCCGTACAAGACACCCCGAGGCTCGGCCCCAGCCAATAGACACGATCCACGACCGCTACAAGCGTCGCCCCTCCGTCTTCCGCCAGCTCAACTTGACTACATCTTGACTTCCTGGAGACCCTGGACAGGGGAGACGGCACTACGGATGAATCCATGATCCAAGACACGACACGACGACTATCATATTATCATGATGCTGCAGCACCCCTGCTTCTGTTAATTCATGTGCGAACGGCGAGTCTTCTTGCCCCTCTTGCGCTGCATTACGTGCCAGTCCTCCTCTGTATGCTGGCCCACAACATGCCGCCTTAATGAATGGTCGGTCGAAAAGTCCCTCAGTGGGTCGTCTCCAGGCTTCCACATCCTTCGGCAGACGTCGCAGACCAATGGCTGACGGGTCTCTCTTTCCGGGCTCTGTCCACAATGATACCTCCAGTGGCGTCGGAATGTGTCTTCACGGAACTTGCCTGCACAGCCTGGGCAGGTGACGTGTGGCACCTCAGCGGTTTCAGTCCGCGTCTTCTTGGTCTTGCGCTCCTGGGTGGATTTCGCGCTCGTCATTGCCTTGACATGATCCACTTCACTGACAGTGTCGTCGTGATCATCCCTGCCGCACACGGACCTGTTGCTCCTCTAGAACAGCCGTCGATGAAAGGGCAGCGGGCGTGAAGGAGGTTCCAGGAAGTGGCGAAGAGGACATCGCTCGTGTGGACGGCGGTTGAGTGTCCAAGCCACCCGAGGAAAAGGCGGCTGTCAGAGGTGAGCTCGCATGCCCAGTGGACTTGATGGCGCTCGATGCCAAGGCACCATGTGTCGCTGATTTGAGACGGCTCAGCGCGCCTTGCAAATGGATACATGTTTGTTTCGACGTCGACATAACCCGCGCTGATGCTGTCACCCTTGGTGCTGCCCATAGCGCCTTCCTCGTCGGTCCTCCCATCGGCACTTTGGAAAGGGGCAAAGTGAATGGGGCGACGATGTCATCCACCTTGCGGTCGTGTTCTTCCCCATTTCCCAGAACGAGGGCTGGGACAGCTGAAGATACTATATGAGCATCTCCAGCGCAGGTCATTGGGAAGCCTGAGATACGTACCGTTCCCCCGCCCCCCTCATGTGCTCTGCGAAGTGATCGCAGACTTCTGCTATCCATGCTATGTCTGGATCCATCTCTGTGCTCCCTAGCGTCGCGCTGTGACAACCCTGCGCCGCCATATGTAATAGGCCTGTTGCTTGGACTGTGCGGAACACGTCGAGGGTGAGAAGACGTGGTGAGTAGAGTGGCGCCCATTATACATTATAGCTGTTCAGTGGCTTGATGCTGATCAGAGGGCCTTTCCTAGGAGTGCTTGTGTGAGAGCAGATGCTTCTCTAGAGAAAGGGCCAACTCAAGTAGAGGTGCATCGTAAGCCGCGCCCCCTATATACCATACTGTTCGGGCGCTCAACCAGCTTCTTCCACACAATCGTGCGTTTGATTCTCTGCTTAAAATTAGAAGGCGTCGCCCTCGTAGGCTAACTCGCAGACCAGCATTGGCCAGTCAAGCGACTAAAACGCTGACAAGTGGCAGGTAGTGTTCCTGGCTATGCTATTGTCCCCGTGCGCTTGATGTTAATCAGGTCCTTTCATAAGCCAACAATGCGAGCTTGCATACACCGTCCTTGGATTATACAATGCGCAGCAGAACTGGAGGTGACTGCCATGTCTGCCCCGCCGTCACAGAACGCTGTTATGCGTTTCAAGCTCGGACTCAACATATCGCTTACCTTCGGCGGCCCATGGTATTTGTTTTGAGACGTTGGGTACAATAGGTACACCTATTGCGAGGATCTGCGGATGCTACTGTGAACGAGTTGCTGTTGTGTTGCAACGAGGAGTCGACACCGGCGGTGTGATGTCTAATGAATTCTAATCTAGTTGAATCTTGAAGTTGCTTTACGATTACATTCATCCGCGTACTTGATGGCATCAACATCCATTATGGC